TAACAGTGAAAACTAATTCCATGTTCCCTAATGATATCTCCTAATGGTAGCATGTACAGAGTGAACAGCAACGGTCCTAGCACTGAGCCTTGTGGTACGCCATACTGAACTTGTGATCGATAAGACATCTCTTCATTTACTGCTACAAACTGATAACGGTCAGATAAGTATGATTTAAACCATGCTAGTGCAACTCCACTAATGCCAACATAATTTTCGAGTCTATTTAAAAGAATGTTGTGGTCAATAGTATCAAATGCAGCACTAAGATCAAGTAACACTAATAGAGAGATACAACCACGATCGGATGATAAGAGCAAATCATTTGTGACTCTGATGAGAGCGGTCTCGGTACTATGGTACGGTCTGAATCCTGACTGAAAATCCTCGCAGATATCATTTCTTTCTAGAAAGGAGCACAGTTGTGAGGATACTGCTTTTTCTAATATCTTTGATAGAAAAGGCAGATTCGAGATCGGCCTGTAATTGACTAATTTTGTATGATCAAGTTGCGGTTTTTTAACAAGCGGTTTTATCATAGCCAGCTTAATGGTTTTTGGTACGTATCCTAGAGACAAAGACGAATTAATGATAGTAAGAAGAGGATCTATGACCTCTGGAAGCATCTCTTTCAGTAGCTTAGTCGGTATAGGGTCTAACATACATGTTGTCGATTTAGATGATTTAACGAGTTTAGAAAATTCGTCCTCTCCTATGGCAACAAATGAATCAAATTTTTCCTCAGGGACACTACAATGCACTCCCTGATGCGATACTGTGGTAGACGGTCGCATAGTTATAATTTTGTCCCTGATAAGTAAAGAAGTTCATAAAGTCATCACTGCTGTGTTGCTTGGACACTTCTGGGGTTGAAGCTTTCTTTTTCGGTAGTTTAGCTACTGTTTCAAATAAATACCTAGGATTATATTTATTTTCTTCTAATAGGGTTGAAAAATAAGCAGATCTAGCAGCTTTTAAAGCCTCTCTGTAAGCAATCGAGCTCTCCTTCCATGAAACCCGAAATACCTCTAGTTTAGTTTTCTTCCAGTTGCGCGCCGTTTTTCTGGCTGCTCTCTTAAGGGCCTGGGTGTGCTTGTTGTACCACGGTGTTGGACTATTTTCTTTAATCTTCTTTAAGCGCAATGGAGCAACTGCGTCTAAAGTGCTGGAAAAGAGAGAGTTAAAAGTTTCTGTTGCAATATCGAGTTCTTCTAAGCTATCTGGGATGCTGAGATGATGAAACTGATTAGAAAGATTATTGATAAAGCAATCTTTAGTGGCAGAAGTTATAGGTCTAACGTATTTATAACACGGAGTCGGCTTTGCAGCCTTGGCTAAATGTAATTTACATGCGACTAGATAATGATCTGAGATGTCATCGCTCTGCTGCAGAATTTCAACGGCATCAATATCTATTCCATGTGATAGTATTAGATCTAGAGTATGATTACGACAATGAGTAGGTCCCGACACGTGTTGTCTAACTCCAATTGAGTTTACAATATCTTTAAATGCCAATCCCAATGCATCTTTTTCATTATCTACATGTATATTAAAATCACCAACAATTAGTACTTTATCTGCAGCCAGTACTAACTCTGATAGAAAGTCCGCAAATTCTTTGATAAAATCTTTATGGTGCCCTGGTGGCCTGTACACAGTAGCCAGCAGAATTCTCAAATGTGATTTATCGTTTACACTATGTATTTTTACATTAAGAACCAACACTTCAAAAGAAGTATATTTAAAACTAGATTTCTTAGTGGTTTTGAAAATATTACTATAAATTACAGCAACACCTCCCCCTTTGCCTTTCAGACGAGGTTCATGTTTATAACTGTAATCTTGTGGGGTTGACTCATTTAAAGTAATATAATCGTTTGGTTTTAGCCAGGTTTCTGTCAAACACAGCACATCTAGATTATAATCTGAAATCATATCATTAACTATGAGTGATTTTGGAGTAAGGGATCGAATATTCAGCAACCCAAGCTTTATCATTTGCTCATCTGTATTATATCTATTTTTTATTTGTTGAACATCAATTAAATTTTTAACCTGACGTTTTTTGGATTTCCAAATTCGGGGAACAGACACAGTCTCTATATGATGATATCTAGGTGAAAGAGGCTCTATGTGATGGGATTTATCTGACCTTGGTGACGTGAGGCCGCTAGCAGACGGTCGGTTTAGCCAGTCTGTCTGCTTCCTGACCTGAGCCCCAGATTGTCATGTTTTAGCTCTAAGACTATGAGCCAAATTACTAGAGAGAAGAGAAGCACCAGCCCAGGAGGGATGAATACCATCTCTTTTCAACAGGTCAGGCTTGCCCCAAAAACTTTTCCAATTGTCTATGAATTCTACATTATTTTGCGGACACCACTCAGACAGCCAGCGATTCAGTGAGGCCAATCTACTAACTATCTCATCACTCCTGCGAACAGGAAGAGGGCCAGAGCAAATTACAGTGCCTGACATCATACTTGCGAGTTCACACACCTCTTTAATATTAATTTTGGTGATCTCCGACTGGCGGAGTCGAACATCATTAGTGCCGACATGAATAATGATCTTAGAGAATTTACGATTAGCATTAGCCAGCACTTTTAAATTTGCTTTGATGTCAGGCGCTCTGGCTCCCGGCAAACATGTGACTATGGTGGCTGATGTCTCTATTTTCACGTTCCGTGTGATCGAATCACCAATTACCAGGGCACAATCAACAGAATTCTCAGTGGGTGTTTCACTGAGTGGGGCAAATCGATTTGTTATGGGAATCGGAACGGAAGAGTGGTTCTTTGATCCGCGACTAGAACGATCTCTGACAGTCACCCATCTGCCCTGCTGCACGGGCTCTACTTCAGCCGGAACCGTATCATGTAAAGAGTTCACTATGCTAGGCGCATCCAAAACACTATCTAAAGATCTAGCATTCTTACCATCCTCAATTAAAGTTTGGATGCGTGTCTCTAGTTCTGAAATTTTCTCCGTCAGCCTGACTGTCTCCTTGCATTTATCACATATAAATCCTATATTGCCATCGGAGAAGGCTATACTAAACATATGACATGTGACACAGGTGACAATAACAGGACAAGACATTACTCACCGTGTTTGTTGACTGATTCTTACTTACCTGGACTTATGAACTCAAAGGCGCGGGCGCGCGAGAGAAAATAAATAAATAAATCGCACGGGGTGCGCGTTAACAGGCTAACGTTAGCGAGTTAGCGTGCTGTGTTAACGATAACGGAAGCTAGAGATGTAAGGTTAATCTCAGATGTTGGGCAAGCTGTATTTAGTAGTATAAACAACTAGAAATGATAGTAAATGATAAATGATGGCTCAAAACAGAAAGAAATACGAGGCTCAGGCGGAGCTTACAACCTCGAAGCAAACAAACACACAGCAGGCAGCGAGGCAGACAGGAGCAATCTAAAGTAAAAACCTTCAATCTTTTCACCAGTAGCTGAACATGAGGGCCAAAGGAGAGAGCGTCATCAATTAAAATCCCCAATATCTATACTGAGACACAAACTCAATCTCCGAGCCTTTGGACGTAGTAATAGGCAGAAGATTATGAGGGATTGAGTTTGATTTAGATTAGAAAACAACATAAATTTTGTTTTATCAACATTTAAAACTAGTTTTAATTCAAATAAGTTACGCTGAAAAATATTAAATGCAAGCTGTAACTGAGAAAGAGCCAGATTGGGTGTGGATGCTGAACTATATATAACTGTATCATCAGCGTAATAATGAAAATTTACATTATGAACATTTTGATCAATATTATTTATATATAGAGTAATTAGGAGTGGGTTTATCCAGTGAAAGTGGGTTGTCGAGGATTTGTGGCACACTCTACAACCCTGTTTCTCAGAGACATCAGATTCAGTGGCCAAGAGTTGCGTCGCACAGTGAAGAACTTATCTGAAGCAGCAGAGAGGAGCAGCAACTGGCTGTGGTTGAGACGGAAAGATTCTGGCTGGCTGTGTACAGGCCACCACACTACGGTTTCGAAGAATTCTTGAAAACTTGAAGAGTCTGTTGGATTATTTATAGTTTGCATAGTTATAATAGTTATTACAATCCTGTGTACTGTATTTTGCTTGAATGAGAATTTGTGTTGGACAGATGTTGTTGTGTTTTGCGGTAGGTAGAATGCCATAAGGAACCGTTGCAACTGAACCTGCATTAACGACGACAGTGAGGCTTCGACAGCCTTAGTCAAATGGCTGGCGCGTATGGTCGGGTTGCGGTGAGATTGTGGTTAGGTCACATCAAGGGTTTATGCCACTGAACTTTTGTGTTCATAAAAGAAAACTAAATAGTCCATACTTTATTTATTTTTTAGTTTTCTGCAAATATTTTGCTGTATTTGATTGTGAGCACCACAGCCAAAAGCATGACATTCTGACCACCAGATGTCGCCATTCAGACAGCAATTAATAACAGCAATTAACACTAAATACAGAACATTGAGAATTTGGAATTTAGAATGGAATCAGGTCAGTGTGGATGCACAATATAGACTGTGTGTGTGAGATGCAACAGTAGGCGATAAAACTGAGCATACTGGGTCAGGGTTTGTTTGCTAGGGTGGGCCAGGCTCATAATAAGGCTGGCCTTGATTCAAGTACTATCATCATTCAACTAGCATCATTCTGCACCCTTTGTGTCCTTAACTAGTCTGACCCTCTCATTGTAATCCTGATTTGATCCTCTTTTTCTTTTCTATAAAGAAGGCCATCTCACACAATTTTACAGGTTCCAGATAATTTCATCAATTTTATTTTCATTGTTTGTCTTCTTAATAAAGATATTTTTTATTTTAAACTCACATCTCTCTAACTGTTTGTACTAACATGGGTGACCTTTTAGTGTTAGTTTTCACCTATAATCCGGTTAGTATCCCCTCCTCTCATAAACCGTCTCTCAGAACATGACGTAAAAATCTTAAAATGACATTTCTGATCATCAAACTGTCACTCTGCCGATGCTCTGGCAATTACTTTAATTGTCTATTGTTTGTTTAAATGTATATTGTGACAGTCATCATTTCTTCTTCTTTTTGCCTTTTTTGCCACCTTTAGACTTGGATTTGGTTGCTTTCTTAGGTGATCCCAGTCCTCTGCGTACGAGAGTCCCCCGCCACCAGGCCTGGATCTGAAAAGAGATAAATGAAACAAAAGAGAATTAAGTATATTAGGGATTAGACATACCTATGTTTTAAAATGTTGTGTGGACGATTCTGTTTTTGCCTAGCACCAAAAGTGAGTAGGCAACTATTGTGGCTAAGTTTGTTTTCTTTATTATTATTAGTTTTCTGATTGAAGTATAAATGCTTTTTGAAATGTTCAAAGCATTGTTGTGTAACATGTCAACAGCTTAATGTGCTGACTTTAAATTTAATATCTATACTTATCACAAAAGGATTGGACTGAATTCAGAATTTAAAAAAAGAAAGCCTTAAAAATGAGCTGGAATATGAGTGTCAAAAATAGGAAATAATAAAAATAGAAAAATGCTTTACTGAAGTAAGGAAATAATTACCACAATAAGACAACAAAAAAAGATTTAATTAGTCTAAAGGCTTGTTTACACCATGAACGATAATGATAATCATAACCATAAAGTTTAAAAAATCAGTCTAATTCTAAGGCCGTGTCCACCAAAACGTTTTTTTTTTACGCGGCTGTCATATTTTTTCAATTGTTTTCAATGGGAGTGTCGCGTTTTTAAAACGCCACGAGCATAGCGAGGCGCTGAGCTTTTTTTCATGCTGAAGTGCTGAGCGCTCGGCGTTTTTTACAGGTCGCCGAGAGTTGAAGAATGTTCAACTTTGGGTAAAACGTAGCGCTCATCACTGTCACTTTTTACCCAGCCGTCCAATCACAGTGGAGGAGGGGCGGGAAAAATACCACACTGACCAACTGTCACAACATTCTTTCTGTACAACGACAGCAACCAGCAGAGCTAACCGAACAAAATGGATGACATTTTTTTTTTTAGTATGAAACAAATTATCTGCGAAATCAGTTACAAGTAAACTGTGCTGCGGATATTCTGTATCATAGCAACGAAGCGTTTCAACTGAAAAAAACTGTTTTTGCAACTGCGCTGCCAAAACGCTCTCAAGCGCCCACCCTAGTCCCCATCCTCGAATTCTCTTCTTCTCTGCTGGTCCTGTCCGGCTGTTTAGATGTTCCGATTTCATCCGGAGTCCTTCCTCCGATGTCCCCGCCCAATCTCCAAGCTACCGTGTCCCAGTCAGTCCTGCCCGACTCCCTGGTCTTGACCCTCCTCGAAACTGCTGTCTACGCTGGTGTCGCCCAGCTCCTCGGCTCCACCCACTCCGCAAGCTCTCTAACCCTCCGACTCTGCCTCTAGCTTCCCGATCCCCAGCTCGGCATGGTGATGCGGATTCCTCAGCTTCACCTCAGGCCTTCAGGCCCATGAATCCACCTTAGCCTGTCAGCACATCGGCTCCACCTCGGCTCTGCTCTCCCTTGGCTCCAACATGGTTTCCGGGCCTCCAACTGCACCTCAGCCTTCCAACCCTTCTGCCTGGGTCTCTATGTCTTCCAGCTTAGCCTTCGTCAGTAGGTTCCCAGGATCCACATGGACCATCCATCAGTGCTCCACCTTGGCCCCTCCCTCCTTCGGTTCCACCATGGAATCACTCTCTACCAGCTAATCCTGGGTCCTGTACGTCGCAGTTCTGCCCCCTCCTCAAAAACCGCCTCCCTCCCTCTACTGTTGGACTACTAAATTACGGCACAAGGACGCACCTTCTGGGAAGGGTGGGGTATTGTTACATATGGAGTACTGTTATAAATGTACATGTATATATACTCCCTGTTTTGTTTGGCTCCCTGTAGGTTATTATCATTATTTATGTGTAGATTGTGTTTAATTGGTCTCTTGAGTAATCTCCGTGCTCATTAAAGATTCCTTGTCTTTATTTTACCTGTGTCAGGCATTTTTTGGATGGTGCTCAGCTACACGAGCGTGACATTATGTAATTAGAACATAACTGAACAGTGTATACACTCACCTAAAGGATTATTAGGAACACCTGTTCAATTTCTCATTAATGCAATTATCTAATCAACCAATCACATGTCAGTTGCTTCAATGCATTTAGGGGTGTGGTCCTGGTCAAGACAATCTCCTGAACTCCAAACTGAATGTCAGAATGGGAAAGAAAGGTGATTTAAGCAATTTTGAGCGTGGCATGGTTGTTGGTGCCAGACGGGCCGGTCTGAGTATTTCACAATCTGCTCAGTTACTGGGATTTTCACGCACAACCATTTCTAGGGTTTACAAAGAATGGTGTGAAAAGGGAAAAACATCCAGTATGCGGCAGTCCTGTGGGTGAAAATGCCTTGTTGATGCTAGAGGTCAGAGGAGAATGGGCTGACTGATTCAAGCTGATAGAAGAGCAACTTTGACTGAAATAACCACTCGTTACAACCGAGGTATGCAGCAAAGCATTTGTGAAGCCACAACACGCACAACCTTGAGGCGGATGGGCTACAACAGCAGAAGACCCCACCGGGTACCACTCATCTCCACTACAAATAGGAAAAAGAGGCTACAATTTGCAAGAGCTCACCAAAATTGGACAGTTGAAGACTGGAAAAATGTTGCCTGGTCTGATGAGTCTCGATTTCTGTTGAGACATTCAGATGGAAGAGTCAGAATTTGGCGTAAACAGAATGAGAACATGGATCCATCATGCCTTGTTACCACTGTGCAGGCTGGTGGTGGTGGTGGTGTAATGGTGTGGGGGATGTTTTCTTGGCACACTTTAGGCCCCTTAGTGCCAATTGGGCATCGTTTAAATGCCACGGCCTACCTGAGCATTGTTTCTGACCATGTCCATCCCTTTATGGCCACCATGTACCCATCCTCTGATGGTTACTTCCAGCAGGATAATGCACCATGTCACAAAGCTTGAATCATTTCAAATTGGTTTCTTGGACATGAAAATGAGTTCACTGTACTAAAATGGCCCCCACAGTCACCAGATCTCAACCCAATAGAGCATCTTTGGGATGTGGTGGAACGGGAGCTTCGTGCCCTGGATGTGCATCCCACAAATCTCCATCAATTGCAAGATGCTATCCTATCAATATGGGCCAACATTTCTAAAGAATGCTTTCAGCACCTTGTTGAATCAATGCCACGTAGAATTAAGGCAGTTCTGAAGGCGAAAGGGGGTCAAACACAGTATTAGTATGGTGTTCCTAATAATCCTTTAGGTGAGTGTATATTGCCCAATGAGGTGGATGCTAATATGGTTATCAAAATAGTGTTGGTAGAGTTTTTGTTCTTGACTAATTAGACTAATTATGCCTATTTATTGTGTTAAATACTTTTTTTTTTTTTTCAATGCTGTTAAAATTTACAGCTATCAAAATTAAGTGTAATTTTGACATAAAGCACCACAAATCACTGATCATTTTTTTGATCAGTTAATATTTAGATAAATTACTGCATTCTGGAAAAATATTTATTTACATAAAAATTATTGAACTTTTAAAATTCTACCTATATTATTTAGTTATACTCAATTATACTAAACTACTCTCTCTCTCTCTCTCTCTCTCTCTCACACACACACACACACACACACACACACACACACACACACACACACACACACACACACACTGTCACAGTTATGTTCTTTTTAGTTTGTTTATCTTCACATTACCTTTGTTCTAGTTTCCTGCCACTCTTCCATCACTATGGTTACAGATCATGATTAGACAATCTGTTCAGCTGTTCATGATAAATCACATTGTTTGTCTTACTATTTAAGTTGCTGTGTTTTCAGTTCTCATTTGTCCGGTCACGTTAATGTTAAGTTATGTTTGCTCGCCTGCCTTTCAGATTGTTTGCTCATATGGATTATTAAAGCCGTTTTTTTAACCTGGTCTTCATCTTCATGTGCTTCCTACAACTTAAACACACATACACAATATATATATATATATATATATATATATATATTTTACATTTTATTCAATTCACCCTTCGCAGGGAGTTTAATTGACAGTTAATATTTGTCAGGCGATGTGACCAATCATAATCCGCCATCTGCCGAATCCGCCATTTCTGTCTGACAAAGCAGTCAGGAGAGTTAGTAGATTAACGTTGGTGGATTTGAACTTGAAAAACGGTGTGTGCTGCCGTCTTTCCACAGTTGAAAAACATTCCTTATGATGTTCATTCATGTTTATTTGATGCTTTAAATTAACTAGAAGGCCGAGATGATCGGTTCACGAGCAGCTTTAACTGAGGCGCTACAGCGATCTGTCACGGCACATTAAAGAGCCACAAAACGGTATTTATTGTTAAAATTTCTTTAAAAAAATGTGAAAATTGAGACTTTGTTTCATATCAAAAGTAACCTGCTCTGTCCTGTCTGTCATCACGTTTTCAGTGTCCTCTTTGCTCCGTGATGTATTTTTCATGCGTGAGAACATTGTTTGGCATGAGAGCGGCATGGCTTGTTGGACATAGCAACAGTAACTAAAGGGGGCGGGTCTTTGCGAATGGTCAATTGTGTTTGCTCTTACCTATACCTATACCTCAATTCAAATTAAACTCAAATTCAGGGATTAAATTGGAATTCTCGTTTAAACTCTGAATGATACTCATTGAAGTTGCACAAAACTGAAGAAAAAAAACCCACCAAACACAAAGTGCATATAGGTATCAGTTCCATTAAGGCCCCGAAAATAAAAGCCCCTGCTTCAAAAGTAATGACTTAATAAAATGATACATCTTCTCATAGCCATTATCGTTTTACCTACTTTTCCTAGAATGAAGCTATACGTTACCTTAGTTGCTGCATCTCTCTCCTTCTGCTCTTTCTCCAGCTGTGCACGCAAACGTTCCTTCTCCATCCTGTCCTCAATGATAACCTCTTGCATGTTTCTGCACTGAGGTATAAAAAGTTTTTTGCAGCTTATTGATACTGACTCTCTCAAAAGGAATTTTAAAAGGAATGCAAATCAGGTTACAGTTAACATGTAATGTAATGTTAACTTTTCATATAAAAACCTTTTTGGACAGCTCTTGAATTCGTGCCTGGCAGTTGTTTCTTTTATTCTTTAGAGCAGTGATCTCTTGCTCCTTCTCCTCCATGTCTTTTTCATACCGCTGGATCCAAAACTGGAACTTTTCCCCTAAGTTCTTTTAGGCACACAGTTCAGTGACAGCAATTAATCCTGATGTATTTGCATCAGAATAGGCTTAAATAAAGGGCTTACAAACAGAACTCCAAGCATAACCAACAAGACACTTTAGTCAGCCAGCTTCATTACCAAAGTTTCAGTGGTGAGCAGCATGGAAATTCTTAACATTCTGGGGTGCGTTTCCCAAAAGCATTCCGTCGTTAACAACATATTTCAACGATTTGACGTTTACCATAAGCTGAGTCCAAAATTGCATGCTGTCTAGTAGGGATATTTGTTTTGAAACTTACTTCATGACCATTAATAAAGTACTTTCTATGTAGTATGAATATGGGTAGTTTGGATGAAATTCTGACTTATTACATCCGCCATGTTTTTACTGTCACATTAACTACCAGCATCAGTTGCGTGGTTTCATGGCTATTCACAACTCCTCTCCGTGGTCTCATGGGACAGTACAGTGTTTATCAGATGTGTACTTCAGAATCTCACCGGAAGTCAAGTCATACAGTAGGTGATCTGGTTACTTGTAGCCTACTGTTTTATGAGTATTATGAATAAGAATGTACTACTCGTCTCACATTATGTTTTTCGCCTACTATAAAGTAGGGACGTATACACATTCGGACGCAGGGATAGTTCAAAATAACATTCGCAAACAGCATAGTAAAGTCGTGTGGTTGGAACAACAACTCTCGAACTGTGGTTAGAAGCATAGTTACTCATTATCAGGAGCACAATAACGAGGGGAAGGTTAGGATGATTTCAGGGGGCCTTAGTTATCAGAGAGGGCAAATGGAACAAAAATGGACATTAATTGCCATCTTGAATTAAATGGCAGAAGTTATCATTCCATCACATGTGCATGACGTCATTAACAGCAGTCCTATAATGTTGAACCAACATAGTTCAAACGACACTATTACTAAGACTGCATTTACACTGCAGGCCTTGATGCCCAATTCCAATTTGTTGACTATTTTCGATTTTTTTGATGACCATCTTTCATCTTCTTTTAAAAGTGACACATATCCGATATCTGCATTTACACTATATTTGGTGAAACAACCCAAGGTAGACATACTGATCCAGAAAAAGGAAGTAAAAACGGCGTGATATGCAATGGATGCGGAGGAAATTACAATACAAGCTTTTGCTTTCCACACCATCTTTAAAAATCATCAATACATTGAGTTGAGCCTTCATCCTCCATTGCGCCATTGAATAGATTCATGTGATCGTCAGTTGACGTCATTTGCCATCATCGCTTTTTCAATTATGTATGACTCGCATTGACGGGAATATCCTGAAGACCTTGATTTACTTGATTAGGCTTGGAGCTAAACTCTGCAGGACAGTGGCCCTCCAGGAGCAAGACTGGACACCCTACTCTATACCAATTGGGGTACAATCAGTTCTTAGAGGTGCACATCCCTGCAAGTACAAATCTAGTTTGTTTTACAAAGCTTTATGAATTACGTTACATAAAATTAAGTTGTGCTTCACTCACTGCATGTTGTCTTTTTAGGAAGATCTCCATCTCCATGTGAACATTCTTTTCCTCCTCAGTTCTCTCTTGCAGCATCTGAGAGTGCAACCAAAAGTGGAAGTTGTAAATCAAAATATGATGGTAAGTGGGTTTTACAGTATGTTTGGGTATCAGAATAATTGGAATTTTAATTATAAACTTGTTAATTGGAAACTGAATTTCTAAAAGTCCTGACTTCTGTCACTTGACAGTATTGATGTAAAAATGACCAAAATGGCAGTGGCAGTTAAAATAGTTGGGTAGCTACCGAAACCGGCATTGTTCCTAAATGAACTTTCTTTGTTCCTCAATATTTAGTAAAAGCATAAAGAGGTGTAGCTCAAATGCACTACCATTTGAGCTACCATTTGAGCTACATTCAACCACACATGCACAGCTACAACCCTGCATAAACATTATTAATTAAATGTTGGCTTGTCTGAAAGTTTAAAAAGTTACATTGGTAGCACTTTATTTTACAGTCCTGTTACGCATGTACATAGTATGTACTTATTATAGCAATTACAATAACTGGGTTATAACTAGGTAGCCTACTGAACCTATCCCTAAACCTAACCTTAACAGGTGTAGTTAGCCTACATTATAATACCAGTACTTTTTACCACGCTGTAAGTACACTATAAGTACACGTACTGTAAAATAAAGTGTAGCTGTTAAATTTTATATTCTAAAGGGATAGTTAACTTTAAAATTAAGACGTTCCGAAAAATACCTCAGTGCTTTTTGTCCATAAAATGAAAGTAAGTGGGGTCAGATGTTGTCTGTACACCAACATTCTTCATTTGTGTTACAACTTAAAATTTTGGATAAATATTCTGGGTTGTCACTAGGACTTTGATAAGCAGTTGCCTGCTATAGTGTTATGTGGTTTCTAGTATGTAAAAATGATGCAACATAGAGGTTGCAGAACAAGTTGTCAAACACACACCCCAACTTCATCTTCCAGTTCTTTCTCTTTGTGACTGTTGAGTTTCAGCCCTTGGCAGACTAGCTGTTCGGCACATCTCTTCACAAATTTCTCTTGTCGGTTTGTCCTCACCCTCATGTTCTGTACCTGCTCCCTCAGGTAGTCCAACAACTCCTTAAGCTTCTGGGAAGAAAATTGTTTTTTTTCAGCCAGACTGCAAGTCACATGTGTATTTGTCCAACATTTTAGACCAAAGTTCAAAAGTAAAGATGACACAGTACTTTTGTGTATCAGCTTTTGTTAACAATTAAGATTCCTTGCATTGTGACATTAGCTATGTTTCCATCCAAAGGTTGTGAATTTAACTTAAATTGGAATATTGCATAAAACATTTGCTTTCTGATAAACTGGCACTAAATATCATTACCTAGTTATGGCATGAAACTCTAGATGGCGCAGGTTGATAGGTTTAACTCATTTGGTAGCGATCACATCATTATCTACATAGCAAAGCTGATTGGTTGTTGTTGCATCAGCGGCCAATGAGCTGCGGCTCAACATTCAAACAAATACCGGTAGTGTTGCTGTTCGCAGTCTGCAGCGCGCTTTCAGAACGCATCTGGAATCAACATTTAAGGTAAATGATTGATTCTTTTATTCCACATCTCTGTGAATATTGTGTGGCCCGGTTATTAATTCCTAAATGGAGCCATCTTTGGGGCGGGGTGTTGCGACGTTCGTCTGTTATAGGACAACTTAGTTTGAATAAACGAGCAGACACTGATTAGCTACTTGCTCTACGTTTATTTTAAATTAACAGCAAGACAACTAGCAGTGAATGTGCTTTCCATTAAATGAATCACACACAGTAAACAAATCCTTAAAAAAAAAAAAAAAATCAGGCCTTTCTTTGTCAGTGTCGTCTGCAAAGATGAAGTTGACGATGCTGACTCGCGATCTTCGCAGTAGTCAACGCGCCAGAGAGAAATTCACATTTCATACGGATTACATAAGCAGAGAGCAGTCTGTAGTCTGTTTTCTTTCGGTTTGAATTGTTCTGTTTAAAAGTAGACATGTCTGTGAGGCAAGTAGGCTACCTTATATGCTGAGTTTCGGTTCATTTATGAGACGAGCTCCAGTTCACGCGCCGGCGCCTCCGTTTCGTGATTATCTATCGTCTGCTATATTAATAATTCATGTATGTTACATATGCAGCAGCAGCATGTCTTGACTCTTACATGCTCACAGCAATGTTTGTGAATGTATTGGCAGTAGCAAGTCTTGGTACTTGCTCTGCAGCAATGTAGCAGATCTATTCTGCCAAAACCAAATACATTAGCATTGCCATATCTATTACCATGTCAATCTCTATTTACTATACCAATCTCCCGAGCGTTGTCATGACAGAATTACCTATAGTTCTAGCATGGAACTCTAGATGGCGCAGGCTGATAAGTCTAATTAATTTGGTAGTGCGAGCGATCACATCATTATCTACAAAGCACAGCTGATTGGTTGTTGTTGCATCAGTGGCCAATGAGCTGCGGCTCAACATTCAAACAAATATCGGTAGTGTTGCTGTTAGCAGTCTGCAGCGCACTTTCAAAAACCACCCACCTTTCCCAGCTCCACCTGTATAGATCTGCTGAGGTTAATTAATGTATGTTACATATGCAGCAGCATGACTTATATGCATTTTTAGTATTTATGCGCATCTTAGCGTTTTCTTCCAGCAGTTTTGGATACAATATCCCAAAATGTGCATTAAAAATAGGTGGATGGAAACATAGCTTTTGTTGTCATGAAAGTTAAGCACACTTCATGCTTTACAAACAACAGTGAAATATGCACAGTAAAATCAAAAATTGTGTTCAAGTCAAATTAAATATGAATTAATAAAAAATGTTCTATGGAAAATGGCACCGATGATTACCTTGCACTCCTCTATTTTTTGCTTGTGAATGTCAAGTAACTGTTTTTGCAGTGCTTTAATCCTGAGACGACCCTCTTCCTCCCTACAGTTTGTGTAAAATGTGGTGTATGTTCACTGTTTGAGGCTACATAGTACAGTACATGATATTTTGGGGTAAATAATTTGTCAGTTCATGTTAAGACCTGTTTATTATGTCCAGAAGTTGGACTTTCTTCTTCCGGTCCTCTCCTACTGCTGACAAGAGACTTTGAAAAGTGTTTTTCTTCTGCAGCTCGACCATTAACTCATTTATCACGTCTGACATAAACTGCCTATGGGATCAAAGATGATGTTGAAATGGTTTATGAAACATTAAGAAATGTTCAAATCAGTAAATAAATATACAATGATACATATACAATTTTCAACTTTAAATTAAAAACTATAGCTAAAACTGTTAATTACTTATAATACATCCCTATAACATTTAGATAACAAATAACATCCAATACTTTAGAGAAGTGTGCACGCATACCTGTCTCTCTGCACTTTGGCCAGGTTGTCAGGAGTAAGTAGACTCTCCTGAATACTTATTTGCTTTTGGGATTTGTGTAATTCTCTTGTGAAATCAGACAAACTGCTCCCAGCCATCTGTTGAGCTGTTTTTAGATGCAGTTCGGTCCTTTCCTGCTAAATACAGAGTGATACAGAGAAAAACATGATTGGGAGATAAAACAGCAATGATGGCATGCGGACAATGAGGTGTTATAACTATTGTGTGGTGACCTGGCAATAACACCATACAAGGAACTCCATATTTTGTACTCGATCAATACACTTGACTTCAAATTACACGAGGCGAAATGTCTAATAAATGTGCAATAAGTTGGGTAAATCTCATGAAACGTCTCAAGACCATGTCTAGGTCAAAATCATAATAAACAAATCATTTTCATGACAATTTAACACATTTGACCACCAATAGTTGCAGTATTGCTTGCTGTAATTGTGATATATTACATAAATTACTTTATTATCTATGGGGTAAAATGTGACCTGGACGTATTTTTGTAAAATGTATCCAGTCACTTAGTTATACAACTATTATAAAAAGTCTAACCATGAACAAATAGAGAAAATTATTTACAAACAAGTAGACTGGGGGATACAAACAAGGGAACAACAAAGGTTGCATCAAAAATATTAAGTTGGAATCTAATTAAAAGTTTAATCTAACAATTATGTTGCAACTTTAAAAACTTTGTTGTTTAAAAATAAGCAGACTAAAATTTTAAACACAATTTTGATTTGTTGCTACTGTAAACCAGTGGTGAGGGCAGAAATGTTAAAGTGAATGGACCTTGGTGAAATAGGGTGGACCAATGCCTATAATCTCAAATCATTTTAAAATACATGGGATAAAAATAATTTGACAATTTAGATTAGTTTAATTGTGATTTATTGTCAGCCAACAGTTTCATTAAAACACAAAAAATAAATCACAACAGAATAAGAACAATAAATGAATATAAATAATCATAGGTGGAGCATGTGTTGGGCTGGGCGAGGCTTAGCCTTCACCTGGCCACGGACTTGAGACTAGCGTGGAATTGTCTCAGTCAAATCACTGTCTGCTGCCGCTTTGGATTGGTTTTAGAGGGAAAAGCGTAATAATAGCATATTGGCGGTTTGGCAAAAGGTCCTGTGCCTATCTGTGTTTGTGCTCTGGAGAACGTCAAAGGTTTCCATGTACAACGTGTTTTTGCAATGTTGAGCAATGTAGCCAATCACAAAACATGTCTGTTGATCTCTTGAACGCAATTGCCAATCACAGGTGTTTAAGTTAGAATCTACTCACCGCTCAAAACGCCAGAGTTTTATGTTCAGTGCTGAGTTCTGCATGCTCACAGATCTTCTCACAACAAATACATCATAGACATTATTAGGTACACCAGGTGTGCCATTTTGCGTTCTCAAGTTCAATGTGGCAGTCCAAAACAGTGGAATCTAATAACTATTGATGCAATGAGATCCAGGCAGGCAAGCAATGATTATGTCAAAGATCAAATTTGAATAAGGAATAGCAAATTTATTAAGCAAAAATGTAAAATTATAAAGACAACAAATGAATTAGGCTAAATCAATACGAAAATTGTAATAGCAAATAGGTTTAAACAAAAATCAGATCTATCTTATTCAATACTTTATAAATAATACAAAGTATTGTATCTAACAGATGAAGATTGTGAAATTCAGAGTATAAAGAAAGAAGGACCCAAAAGAAGTAAGATATGAATGCAGAATGAAATTTGAGGTAAAAGAGAAGCAGAAGAATAAGCAGAAGTGAAGAGCAAAATAAGAGCAACGAATAGGCTAAATGTAGTATACAGGACACTTACGTCCTCCTAAACTAATGTTTTGGTCTGATAAGAAAAGGTCAAACAGACTTATCCATTGTGTCATAGTTGGTGTAACGGCTAGGTCAGCGTAACCGGTCAGATGTCGAAAATAGATTACGAATAGAGGTGTGGTTTTGACACATTTAGAACAAAGACAGCGAAGTAAGCACTTTCAGTTTCTGGAAAAGAACACCGTTGGAATTACTACTAATTCTGAGATACATCACCCAGACAGTAGTTGAAAGGCCTCCAATACCTAACAAACCACAAGTAACTAAGATGTATATGAACATGTGAGTACAATATACATATTCTTGGATAATAGGCTACTACTTTCATGAATAAAAATTAAACAGAGTAAAAGATAAACATAAATGAGTAACAATAATGAGTAAATAATTGAATATATGATGAAGGTTAATATATGAAGTAGGGATACATGAACACATGAATTTAAAGATAAAATTAATTAGGAACCAATCACAAATGAATAATATGGATATAAATCATATGCATAAAGAAAATCATCATAAACATTGACCTTTTGGATACACCACTACAAAAAAAATTGACTTCAAGAATAAACAAAGTGGTGTCAAGAATTTTGAAAATGTATACAGTGCAAACACAAAACCTATTTCTGAAAAATGCTAAATAAACAATCTTTCAGCATGGGGTAAAGTCAGAATGTACAAAAGACAAAGAGAAAATTTGGTCGCTGCTCTTGACTCTTGCTCTAGGGTTTACAAAGAATGGTGTGAAAAGGGAAAAACATCCAGTATGCGGCAGTCCTGTGGGCGAAAATGCCTTGTTGATGCTAGAGGTCAGAGGAGAATGGGCCGACTGATTCAAGCTGATAGAAGAGCAACTTTGACGGAAATAACCCCTCGTTACAACCCAGGTATGCAGCAAAGCATTTGTGAAGCCACAACACGCACAACCTTGAGGCGGATGGGCTACAACAGCAGAAGACCCCACCGGGTACCACTCATCTCCACTACAAATAGGAAAAAGAGGCTACAATTTGCAAGAGCTCACCAAAATTGGACAGTTGAAGACTGGAAAAATGTTGCCTGGTCTGATGAGTCTCGATTTCTGTTGAGACATTCAGATGGTAGAGTCAGAATTTGGTGTAAACAGAATGAGAACATGGATCCATCATGCCTTGTTACCACTGTGCAGGCTGGTGGTGGTGGTGTAATGGTGTGGGGGATGTTTTCTTGGCACACTTTAGGCCCCTTAGTGCCAATTGGGCATCATTTAAATGCCATGGCCTACCTGAGCATTGTTTCTGACCATGTCCATCCCTTTATGGCCACCATGTACCCATCCTCTGATGGCTACTTCCAGCAGGATAATGCACCATGTCACAAAGCTCGAATCATTTCAGATTGGTTTCTTGAACATGACAATGAGTTCACTGTACTAAAATGGCCCCCACAGTCACCAGATCTCAACCCAATAGAGCATCTTTGGGATGTGGTGGAACGGGAGCTTCATGGCCTGGATGTGCATCCCACAAATCTCCATCAACTGCAAGATGCTATCCTATCAATATGGGCCAACATTTCTAAAGAATGCTTTCAGCACCTTGTTGAATCAATGTCACGTATAATTAAGGCAGTTCTGAAGGCGAAAGGGGGTCAAACACAGTATTAGTATGGTGTTCCTAATAATCCTTTAGGTGAGTGTATTATCTGTATGATGGTATAATGGCAGTTTTCCCTGTGATATCCAAAAATGATTTTTTTCAAGGTATCATATCGAAATTCCAGTATCGTGACAACACTAATATCAATACTGAAATGCTTCCAATACTAATTTTCTGCAAAACAGATACACGATACCATCTGCGCTTTCTCGCTCTCTCATTTCTCTGACAGTGAGTTAACACACAAACCCGCCTCCCCTTACTCACTCGTTTCTTTTGCTCCAGATGAATATTGTTGGTGTTACAGGGCTTGAATTTCGGCGTGGGATAACACGTATTACGCATAATTTGACTCATTCCCGCAAGATTTTGTGCTCACACCCAAAGTGCACGGACACAAAGCCATCTTGAGTTCGTTTTCACTGTCAAAATGCTGGTCTTGGCGACTATTCACATAAACACAATCAGTTAGGTATGTTTTAAGTGAACGTAAACAAAGTTGAGAAATGCATGTGTAACAGTATAATGGATCCATGTGTCAGGTCTTAAAGTGACAGCAGCCTAATATTCCTGCTGCCAAATAAACAATATCTATATAGCAGTTTTCCCCATGGTATTGATTGTGGGGAAATTGTGGAAAGTGAAAATTGTGGAAAGTGAAAATACTGAGTGCTAGTAACTTTGGAAAACCACTAGCCACTGTGGGTGGTGAGCAAAAAAGTTAATGTCAAGCCCTGTATTGTATTAAACATATGTATAGGCCAGCATGCACATAAAACAGCATTTACAACTGGACATTAATTCAATATCAATATCGCAATTTTTTTTTTTTTTTCAACAACAATTTTTAAACACATTTCCGATATTTCAATATACAGCATTTGTCACTGACTGACGTTTAGGGCACAGCCGGCAGAAAGAGCAGAACACAATTGGCTACTTGTGTGATGACGTACAACACAGACATGCAGCCAGTGCTCAGCAGTAGTAAGCTAAGCTCCAACTCGGCAAGTTTTAGCTACAAAATGAGTACCCCTGACCACAATACAACTGTGACTGAACGAGCTTCCACAAGTGAGGAGAAAGCAGATGAAATAGTTGATAAGAGAGGAAAGACTAATTCACACAAGACAAACAGGGGGTCAGGTTGCCATTACAGCAGAAGCAATGTGGAAGGGAGGGAAGCCAAGCCAGTGTAGGGACACAGTACAGGAAGCTCTGGTTAGTCCACATGAATTAAAAAAACAATAATTAGGCCTATTCCATAAAAAAACAAGAATTGTCCATTTTGATTTCATAGTGACTGTAATTTATACAATAAAGAATATACTGTGTTATTTTACATTTGATTATTTTATTCAGTGTCTGTACCTCAATACTACTGTTGTAATGCTTATTGGTTCTCCTCACCAGTTTTGCAAAGTTGGTTCTTTATTTGTTGAGTTTTGGAGCCTCAGTCTTAACTGGAAAAAAGCTCAGAGTTATATTTGATGTGAGTTAGTCATTTGAACCTCATGCAGAATACTGTCAAAAGATTTTTTTTTTTTTTTTCAGAAATATCAAAATTACTCTCAATGTTAAGTTTCTCAGCGACTCAAAAATTAATCAATATATATATATATTTTTTCGCATTGATTACTTAATCCTCTCCTGGTTGGTGTTTTAAATTCTGCACTCAATAAATTTAATTATACCATGGTCTGTCTGAATACTCGATTCAGATTGGCTGGAAGGTGTGCAATAAAACCGTTTAATGCACAGTTATTTCCAAGTCAGTTTTATCACCGTTCTATATTAATGCACCGTTTTCATTGAAGCGCACATGTCACTTGAACACAGTGCTCTCCGCGCCGCACAGAAACTTCAGCGCTGCCATGCGACTTTTAGCAATAAAATAGCTTCGCTACTGAATCACTACATTTATATTTCTCAGCAACGAGGGGGTAACATCGCTATTTTGAAGTACACAGCTTCATTGTTAATAGAGAGAGAGACGCAACAGACACAGGTACGAATCTCTCATCTCTCTCTCTCTGGATAATTAATTCAAATAAATGCTATAATTAATTCATTCAAATTAATGTAATCTTACACACTGCTTTATCTCTGTGTCTGATTGAAAGCGGACAGAATGCTAGATCTAACAAGCCGTGATTGACGAAAATAACCATCAATGTTACCCTCCCGGTCAAATATTGCGCAGCAAACACCAATTTGTCAATTGTCAATGCTGGCAAACGACCATGGTATAATTGGGATAATCCACAGCTAGCTGTGCATTAAACGAATTTCATGCACAGCTAGCCGTGGATTATCCCTTACATATGTGCCAAATTCAGCAGCCAGAATTCTAATAGGTTGAAGGGATTGTATAGAAACATATTGGATGATGGTGCAAGTGCTGGCCTCCCAGGCACCACATCAGCAGTGACTCAAAAGAATGAGCCATCACTCCTAAGATGTATCTAGCCTGTGCTTTTTGATTTGAATTGGATATTGAGTTTCAGCAACCCATGTTGAGCAAGCTTCTTTTTCTCATGTTGAAACAAGATGGCATTTCATAAGTGTTTGCCGCTGTGTCCTCGTTTTATTACAGGACATGTACATGCATGATAAGTGCATGGGAATTACCTGCTCATCAAATTGGCCACAATAACCATTTTAAAATTAAAGTGCTTTGCTCAAGAATTCCTTTAAAGAAAAGGAGGATATTCAGCCATCCTCCATCAGTATTCTGGTTGCTGAGGTGCTTCATGAGCTAGGGTCTTGGGAATCCAATGTGGAGCTTTAAGCTATGGTTAGCGAGCAGACGGATTTCTCCCTTTCTTTTCTCTTTCTCTCTAAAAAGAGCTCATGCAGTGGAGTCCCCAAAGCTCATAATGTGATCTCGCTTGATGATGTTCTCTCCACGGGTCAAAGCCAGTTCAGTCAGACATGCATTATAAATTAGACAAGAGTTGCTTGTTGCTTATCTTGCACCATCTTCCTTGGAAGTTGTGGCCTATATTGCCATCTAAGGCCTGCAGGATAACAGTCAGCAGTTAACAGTTGATTCCCAGATGGGCCTGAATTTGTGAGTATGTTTAAATCAAGGACGCCGGCGAGTCCGTCTTCTTATTAATCTGCGATGTGTTTGCATCAGTCTAATGTTTGTGCAACAGTCTTCTGTTGCATGAAGCACTTTTAACAAAGGTCAGTGCTTGCAGCTGAGCTGGACCCTCACTATTAACACGATTTTATAAGATCCCCATAGAGTCAGCTACTGATGCAATGTCGAGTGAACCAAATTCAAAAGGGAACATCTCTGGTTACCTAACGTAACCTCGGTTCCCTGGGAGAAGGGAGACATTGCGTAAGCTGCTGTGTTACAAAGATCAGAGACTTTGCCAGCTACACACCACTTCAGTCCAAAGATTCTGAGGGAATGACGTTCAGCACGGCCTTATAGGCGAATTCTTGCCTGCGAGATTACATAGGTCTTCAGTATTCAGTATGGGTAAACATCCTGAAATAAGGTGTTTACCCATAGCGTCAGACACAATGTCTCGTTCGCTCCTCTCAGGGAACCAAGGTTACATTAGGTAACCAGAGACTTTTTCTACTCTGAGTCATCTTCTTTGTGTGTGCGTGTTGGCTAGCAACCACACCACCAAACATGTGTGGGGCAAGGGTAAATTAAGTGCAATTTGCTTTGACATCACAATTGTGTTGCATTGTGGTGTATTGACCTGCCAGAAGTGTACATGAGTAGACTCAAAACCTTAGTCAAAAAAGAGGGGTCGAGGGTCTGCCCATATGAACTTCCCTACTTATAAACGCACTTCAAAATGGTGATGGGGATTCTGCCAAGGGGAAGGGCTTAAGAAAGTTTGCAGGTGTGTGTCAAGTGGAACACACCCCAAAACTTTGATTCATTCAGCAAAGAAAAATGTTGCTCAGAAATGTTTCTGATGTGGCTTTGATCAGAACTATTGTGTTTTAATTTTTAGGCTCCCTAATACTAACCATATTTATTGAAATATTAAAAACAGTAACACAATTGGAATGTGCAGATATTTTTATTATTTTTTGGGGGGGGGGGGGGGCAGCCCTGTTTGTGTGATAGTGTTATGAATATAAACAGCAACTAATTTTTGGGGTATTTTTGCCCCATGCATAGCATACATTTTGGGGCCATTTTTTTTTTAATTTGCTGACATTTTTGCCACAAGCCATTCATTTCAGACCCTAGCATGTGTTATTTAAGATCCAAGGGAAATTAAATAAAAGAAAACCATGTCAAATACAAAATTTTAATAATTTAATGAGAGCATTTAATAAGAGCAAAGGTTTCGCCTTTTTAAAAACCTGTCCTGCACCGCTAGCTACATCCTGCACCCTTGTCGTCACGCAAAACAAAAATGATACATCACCAACACACACACACACACACACACACACACACACACACACACACACACACACATGTGGCACATGATGTGGCCCGTGCTATGTGACCTGCCTGTGAACACCAGGCCATCAGGCAACCAAACACAATGTAGGAATACTTACAATTACCACACTTAACACACTCCGCAGACCCTGACAATTATCCAATAAGCAAACTACCATATATGGTCACCGAAACAATGCATGTAATCCACAGATACAATTATATAAATATAATTGTAGACAGGATGGGTTATAAGAATAGTTATTATAAGAGCAATGTGGGTCTTCATATTGACAGGGTCCTACAGTAAGATGAGTGGATCCCTCATAGTCCAAGAGCCTTGTTGAGGCCTTGTGTATGGGGCCTACATTTTCAAGAATAACTTGTTTTAATTGGTCTTGGGCTTTCTGTACAACCCTGGATTGTGCGGCCCTAAAGCCCAGGTTTGCCAATAAAAAGCCTTCTCATATGCAACAGTTTCTAAAGACATTTGACATTTTTACAAGCTTATTTCCTTTATCTGCAAGAGCTACTTTATTTCAGAGAGAAATTTTTCAAAAATGAAATGGAGTATTGCTGACAGCTTAGAATTTTAGTCCTGTGATTTGTTAATAATCTCTGTGTTTTAACACAACACAAATTAAAATAACACCTTGGTCAATAAATCCTTGATTAGCCATAAACTGCTTAATTTAATCCTAATTGGTGCGATCCACCCAAAATATAGGTAAATAAACTGACCATACTGCAGCAAGATAAGAATATCAAACATACACTGTAAGAAATAAAATGTGCAATAGTAACTGTACAACAGCTTCAACTGGGGCCGCAACTTTGTTCCCCTAAAAGGTGCGTTTTAGTACCTTAGAGTAGTAATATGTACTCTTAACTTACTACTATGACTTTTTTTTTAGGTAAATAAGATACAAATGTCCCTTTAAGGGTACTGCCCAGCGACAAGCTGTTGTATCCCTAAATATGCTGTTTTGCTTCTTTTTTTTTATGCAGGTAACGTTAAACATAACAACAAATCAATTTAACAATAGCTGATGACGAAACAAATTATGCAGTAGTAACATTACAAATTGTGTTTCTGAAAACTGAAAAGAATTCTGAGATTCCTATAGATAACTGTGAGGATGTTACTTACAGTCTCCGCTCCCGGGCGTATAATGTTTCCTAACACTGACAGCTGATCAGCGTGGTCCTGCAGCACAGCACACGCTACGAGCACATCCACCGACATCATACTGCTTATTCTGACGAAACATATGGAAAAATTAAGACAATAACAAGTAACTTTGGACAACTCGACCATGAAAAAAAGACTCTTACAGGTGCTGCCGTAGCAAAGGGCATCCGTTGTCATGACAGCACGTCTTGTACACAGATCCTTTCCTTTTGCTATCTATTTTTATTTATTTATTTATGTTACACCAGATTTAATTCAGTTTAGCGTTAATGCACAACATTTGTAATACTATACAATGTAGCCTATTCGCAGCGTAAAAGCTGTATATTTCTCTCACAGGTAACGTCATAAAGTGACGTCATCGATTAGTCTTTTTATGGAAATATAGTTAATGTACATTATGTAATTTGTACAAAATACATTTGACATTATTCAAATTGTGTTATATGTAATTTATGTTAATTGTTTGTAGCCTTATTACGACTCTATTATATATAATGCTATTTCTTCATGTTTTTAATGCTATTAGCCTATTTTTGTTATCTATTTTTTTCTGTTCTTCTTTATATTGTATGATTTCTTGTAAAGAACAATTTACTGCTTTTTAGTAGGCCTATTTTATTCCTTTATTTTATTTTTCATTTATTTAATTTTCTCATTCTCATTTCCATCATTTCTGCATTCTCCATTTAGAAGCAAAACAAATAAAAAGTGACCTTAAAGAGCTGTGGGAAATTGTAAGGGATCTGGGAGCTTTAAACAACTTTTTTTACTGATTGAAAACGCTGTAAGTGTCTCCCTCACTACCTCGCGTAGCTGTCATGGCCATGGCCAAAAGGTCGATCGTAAATATAAATATCAGAACAGTGGTTTTCATGACTCTTGCTTTTTCGAACAGCAGAGGGCAGCAGATCGCGCAATAAAGGGCCGCCCATGTCAGGCTGTACTAAAAGAACCCAGAGTTCCTCAGAAGACGAGCAGTAGCACATGTGGCTGGGTTGAATACACTAACACTGCACACCAATTAATTGGATGAAAACAAGTGTACTGTAAAGCAAGTGGAGCTCTTAATTATGTTGAATAAACTACTTTCTTCCAATTCTTAAAAATGTCCTCTAAATTTGATTGGAGTACGTGTTTAATCACCATGCTCTCCACGTTTCTGACAGGCTAGACCAGAACTCTAGGCCACGGTCGAATCACAGCTGTGCTGATATTGAGCAGCACTCTTGCTCGTGTTATTGTGCCTCTTCAATTACAAATGCCTCTCACATCTTTACAATTTGCAAAGCTGCCAGAACAACTAACAAACCATTTATATGGTGAAGGTTTACAACCACACACCTGTCAAAAGCAGATATATCCATTTCCTCACCACATTCAGGGTAAACAGATGCCCGTTATTGGCTAGGCAACCAGGTTAACAGCATGAGGGAGGCTAAATAGTGAATTAATCCTGTGACTATCAGTTTTGTTCATTGCAAAAGTTCAAGAGTTAGGGGGTTAGAATAACCCGTTAAGAGAATGTGGGAATAGCAGGCTACAGTGCTGCTTTGCAAGCCCCTGACAGCAACACAGTGTCGGCCCAGATCCGGTACATGTGGATTCCACGCGTACCAGACGTGGGCCGCATTAGGGCCTACATGTTGCTGTCTGGGGCCAAGCACTGTTACAAAAATGTTTGTCAATGTTGTTACAGGATAATAATAATAAAAATAAAAAAATACACATTAAATAATTAACTATATGCGAAACTAAATAAAACAATTTTGTAACCCTTGTGAAACATTTTTTTGCTTAACTGTATACAATTTGGCCTTGTAGTGTACTTTAAATCTTAAAAAGAATGGACTATATTTAAATAAAACTGTACTTGAGGCTAATATAATATTAATTAAATAACTCAATGACTTTTTCTTAATACACTATGTTCAGTAAGCCGGGGCGGGACATGTGTGAATGAGCCCCGGTGTCCCTTCTTTAAATAGCTCTCCATCGGCTGAGTCTTTCGCTTACGGCCATACCACCCTGAACACGCCCGATCTCGTCCGATCTCGGAAGCTAAGCAGGGTCGGGCCTGGTTAGTACTTGGATGGGAGACCGCCTGGGAATACCAGGTGCTGTAAGCTTTTGCTTTATCCTCATTAATACACTTCAGGCTCGAAACCACGGTTGTTCATCCTTTTAAATTCAATTGTTTCATATGTTTTTTTTCTTTTTCATTTAGCTTTTTCTCTGGCTTCTGTGTGCTCTTGCTGTGGCAAAGGACAGCTCAACCCCGTCATTCTTTCTTTCTCCTCCAGGGGGCGATCAACAGGCTTCTCTGTCTACAAGCAACAGAACTCTGAGCGCTTGCTCGTTCCGTTTTTGTCTATGGAACTTAATATTTCAATAATTCCACACACATTCGCATGTTCATGGTTTTCTGAAGTTGGGAACGGTCACAAGAGGACATGCAGGTAAACAGATAAATATTGAATCTTTTTTTATTTTTTATTTGGTTTTATTTTAATATTGGGGAGTAGCCTAGGGCCTAATTGATATTATTATTGTAATATTGTTGTAACTCTAATTATAAAAATGAAGATATAAATATGTTGTAGCCTATATTACGTTTATGAAAGCTACTTAAATATCCTAATTTAACTAATGCATAATCCTGGTTTAAGCCCTGTCTGTGAAACCAGGATTATGACGGTAATTATAATGATATAATATAAACAATTCATTTATATGGCAGTATTGCACAATTTCAACCGAGTGATTCAGATACCACCTCCATGTTACATCCTGTTACCAGAGACAAGCCAGCACTATAGGAGGGAAAGATATCCCCGTAGCCAGCTGATCAAACATGACTGGCCAAACTGTTCTTACACACACACACACACACACACACACACACACACACACACACACACACACACACACACACACACACACACACTGAAAAAGCTGCTTATGTCATCTCACTGATACTAAAAGCAAATTGAAGTATCCTTATACAAGAGTTGCAGCTGTACTGTTTCTTTTCAGCTGCTTTAAATACTGTGTCAGCAACAGGTTTAAACCAATTAGTGTCTTTGGTGAAAGCATGAAAACACTATCCAGTGTGATTCATAATTTTAGGTCATTAACAATCATTCAAACAGCTTCTCTGCAGTGGGCGGCTGTCATTTTGAAACAACAAACAAGCAGGAAGACAAGGCATTAGGTTAATTCAGCTTGAACCACTTAACATAGGTTACAGACAGTGTTTTATTTTTTAAAGATTATAATTTTAAAATCTCCCATAGACTGAAAAATTCACTGTACAACAGACACTGTACAATATTCATTGTGCACAATACTGCACAAAGAATTGACTGCTGCCTTTTGACTGCTGTGTCACAGCTCAGGATATTATGATTTAAAGTATTCATTTATTGTGTGTATTCAACATGCTTCAAAAAAGCTTTTTATTGAAATGTGAACTTAACTGCAGTCATATTTTACTACCAAATAAATAAATACACATTTAAAAATAGTAGACACTTTTTGTGGAAACTTGATATTAGCCATTGCTGTCTTGTGAAAAAGGATAACACTTTAGCATACTTTAAAAAAAGAAAGTAGCTAATTACTGCAGAAATAATATAGGCCCTTTTTTAAGTGCGAACTAAATGTAATGTTTTCAGACACTTAACTGCATTACAATTAAATAAAAACGTATTATAGTTTAAATTTATATTAAATATAATTAGTCAAACTTGAGTGCTTTTTGATCCACTTAAATAGGACTTAAGTTCATCTTTATTTGTAATTTTATAATCTTCATGGAAATATTATTTCTTTGAAATATGCCGAATGTACTGACAAGAATGTTAAAATATAGCCTACTATATGTAATTTCTATTGAAACTTGTGTGAAGTATTTAATATTTATATATTTGTAATTACACATTTGTGATGATAATGTCCCAATTTAAAATATTAACTTTAAAATGTGTCAAATAAAATAATACAGTTACAATTAATCAAATAGCCTACTTTACATGTGCTTTAGTAGCCAACACAGCAAAATAAGTGAACGTTTTTGAAGCATGACAAAAGATTATTAAAACAATGTAGCCTACTTTATAGTAAAACTTTTCATTTGACTTAACAGTGTACTTATTTGTGAATGAAAGGATTAGCCTACTCTCATTAAAGGCACTTAAAGGGATAGTTCATCCAAAAATTAGAATTCTGTCATTAATTAACCCTCATGTCATTCCAAACGTTACAAATGAGGATTTTTTTGGTGAAATCTGAGAGCTTTCTATCCGTCCGTTGACAGCTACCACTGTCTACTACCACTTTGACGCTTCAAAAAGTTCATAAAGAGATTGTAAAACAAATCCATATGAATTGAGTGGTTTAGTCTGAAGAGACTCAATCGTTTAATATGATGAACAGATTTAAAAGCTTTTATTCACATAAACATTCATCAACGCACACACCATTTGTAGTAAATGGAAGCTCAAGCATGTTAACTTTCTTTTTTTACCAGAAGTAATGAGGTTTATTATATTCTTGTGTTACGCTGCACGCTTGAGCTTCCGCAAGAACCAACGAGGTTTATTGCGCGTCAAGCAGTTCGGTTAAGCTTATTGTATTATATTATCTGCAAGTAGGCCTATCATTTGAATAAAATAAGACTTTTAAGAATTGAAGTACACTACAAGTGCACATCCATAATTAAGCACCCTTCTTTTATAGAAGTGTATCAGATCAGAATGACTCTAAAAGTCATAATTAGGCTATTTGTGTTTTAAGGAGATCTATTGTATTTTTACATTAGCAACAACAACCTGTAAAATATGTATTGTGAATCACCGTAAGGTTACAGTTGGGTTTTAATTGTGTTATTTTTTAAACAGGGTTGCCGTCATGTCTACATCGAGTGTTTTGTTTCTTTCCTCACTCGATTAGTTCGGCCTGACGCAGTGACATAAGCAGCAAACATTCCTCGCGCAGCTGAGAGTGAGTGAGTGTGGAGGGACATGATATCGACTGTCAGTGCTGCTCTTCCCCGCACACAACATGGGCTCCACCGCCCATACCACCAAAACCAGAGCTCGAGCATCACCGCAATGCACCGGACTCGGTTCTGTGTCGTGGATCGCGTGTATTGTTGAGATTTCTGAGGTGTAAAATGTGGGTGATGGTGCTGTGGACAAGATGGCAGCAGTATGAGACACACACATCTACATGCTGTGAGTTCAGTTGAAGTGTGTAAAATGATCGGAGAAGACCTGGATTATATCTATTGTTACTTCGTGTGAAAGGTGAGTCTTTTTTTTAATCGGAGTGTTTTTTTCTTCTTCTATTGATCGTGATCTAACTCGGGTTGTTTATGGAACACAATCAAACAAAAACGGATGATCGCATCGTTGTGTGTCAAATCCTACTGAGTTGCCTACATAGACAGCATTTTTGGCTTCATAGGCGCTTTGGCCTTTCTCGATTGTGCCTGTGATTAATACGAACGTTTTTTTTTATTCGATTTGAATTATAGGTATCATTCGTGTGTCTAGGTAGACAACACACTAGGATTTGACACAAACATAGCCTAGTCAATTGAGGTTCGTTCTAACTCTTGAATGTAACCAGTAAAAAAAGGAACATAGCTAATTTATCTCTTGCTTTAATTATTGATGGTAAATAGTATGGTCTGGTCCTCTACGTCATAGAATAAGTTAAGTAAAACATCCAATTAAGTTGGATAAACTTTAAGAAAGAGAGCTTTGTGTACATTTAGAGAGAGAGAGGGAGAGAGATGGTCGATAGATATGTGGATATGAATCAGTTGCTAATGATTTTGTAACTGTTTGAATTGTGTATTTTACAGATTTTAAACAAGTAACGTTATAACTTTAAGTAAACATTGCTATATGTAAATAAGTTTCAGTAGAGAGTAACTGTTCCAGCAGTTTAACCTTTACACACACACACACACACACACACACATACGTTGTTGACCAATTAGATCCAAACAAGTCTGCACCGACCACCGAGTTTAGAGAAAGTCAAAGTGTTGACAACGTGATTTACTTGAGATATACATTGTGCATAAAATGGAAATAAATAAAACCAAATAAGGAGAGAAGATAATTGAGTTCCTGAGATAAAGCCTACAACAGGAGGCATATGATACTTTTTAAAAGTGCTAATTGAGGTTGTTTTGAGGCAGCGTGCATCTGCAGTGGAATAGGTCAAGTGTTAAATAAAAATAGACTCATTTACTATGCATGAGAAAAACTCATGTGGGGTGTTGCTAATATTACCCATAGTGCTTTGCCAGATACTTTTAAGATTGATTAAAGTGAGGGCTGTTTGTCTTGTCAAAATAAAACGAAAGACTATGATAATGATTATTTTGACACAAGAAATAAAGCAATAGACCACCTTAAAAGGAAAATCTTGTGTAATTCATGTCATACCATAACAGAATATCCTATTTTGTTTTGTTTTTTTGTAATGAAAGCGATGAAGAACTGGGGACATTAAAGGGATAGATCACCCCCCGAAATGGAAGTCATTTACTCACCCTCAAGTTAAATTTAATTTCTTTCTTCTGCTGAGCACACAAGAAGGTATTTTGAAGAATGTTGGTAACCAAACAGTTGATGGGCCCCGTTGACCTCCATTGTTATTTTTTCCCTACTATGGAAGCCATCAGAAAAGTCACAACATGAGATTTATATGTCTGGGGCCGTATGATAAAACATTTTATCTTACCACTAAGAGTTCTCATAAATGGCAGTCAAAGTTCTTCGTTAAGAGTTTTCTCTTAAAACCTGTTCACAAAGCTGCTGAGACCAACTTTTACCAAGGAATAGAGAGAAGTCTTGAGTCAACACTTACTAACCATGACCACAGTGATTGGCTGATGGGGGAGGAGTCTCTGTCTGTGATTTAACCATAGAAATATTGTAGAATTCAAATAAAAGTTTTAAAATAAAAATGTTTTAAAATGTAGGCTAAGTGTGACTAGTTAAACTAGTATATGTTCAGCTAATTCTCAGCCTCTTACATGTCTGCATCTCAAGAGATTGCAGAATTCAAGCGACAAATGAGCACGTTCAGGTACAACTATGCAATGTGAAAATAATTCCGTAACCGGTGCCCACTACGTTCCCAAATGCACACTAAACTCGACGTGAAGCTGATCACATGCTGATCACGTGAGTGAAGTGCACGCTTCTCTTTGCGCAGCGCAAACAGACAGTCTTTTGATAAGGACACAAAGCCATATCACCCGTTTCGATTTTAGTTTGTTTGAAAGCAATGGCGCAAAACATGTAATTTAAAGAGCTTTTATGTTATTATGAGAGGTTTAAATATGTTTGGACCGCTACAGTCCAGTTAATGAATGGGAAGCACTGAAATCTATTTGTGGGGGTAAATGTTGATATTGTGGTGGGCCGCCACAAATAAATCAATGTATGGGAAACACTGGATTACCATGACAAACTTTTTTTTTTTTGCATATTAACTTGCACGGATTAATTGTTCACCACAAGACTAGTAATTTGCACTAACAAAGTAAATAGGGTCAATTTTGATTTCTTGAGGAATTTAACAAACTGGCTCAGCAATTCTGATCCGGGTACAAAAGTTGAAGAGACAGTTCACCCAAAAATAAAAATGATGTCATCGTTTACTCATCCTCACATCGTCACAAGACTTTCTTCTGTGTTCCACAAAAGAAAGAAAAAGTACAGGTTTGGAATGAAATGAGGGTGAGTAAATGATGACAGAATTTTCATTTTTGTGTGAACTATGTTTAACAGCCCAATTATCAGTGACTAATAACTTAATAGGCTACATGGTGCTTGACAACATCAGTGCTCATGCGCGTGTTCCACAGATGAAAGGAATATCAGTTTAAAACGACATGACTATAAATAAATAATGACATTTTAGGGGTGAATTATATCTGAGTTTTTGTTTTAAGGCAACTCCAGGAGAAAGAGCAAGTGTTGTATGTTCCTTGTTGTTTGTATTGTGGGTAAGGCTGTTTTCATCAGCAGGGCTTTGCTTTTTCTGAAGAATGAGCTCATTTAGTGGCGGGGGAAGTTCAATAGAGGAGTCACACGATAGCCTGACTGCCATTTGAGTTCTGCTGAGTGCAGAGACATGTCCCCACCAAACGGCCCACTCCGGCCTGTGTTACTCACTGTGGTGAAGCTTGCGACCAAAATAGAACTGTCTACAGTACGTGCTATGATTTCATGGAATTTACATTTTAAGGGATGTTTCAGAAATTACCTTCTTTGTTGTTTGTCTCTAGCCCCATCTACACTGTATTGTTTTTTTAAATGAAAGTATGGGGAAAGATGCAAATCTAAGCTAGTATATTAAAAACTATCTCTTGTTTTATCGCCTTGCATTCATGCGTTCAGTTCAGATCACTGATTGCCTTGCCTTTTGACCCTTGGTATGAGATTCAGCCCCTCCCACTATAAAGTAACAAACATGGTGTTAACAGAGTTTCTTGTCAGTTATTAAAGGGATAGTTCACACAAAAATTACAATTCTTTCATCAGTTAAACACCCTCATGTTGATCCAAACCTGGATTACTTTATTTTTTTCCTGTGGAAAACAAAAACAAAAAAAATATTTAGAAAAATGTTTCGGCTTTTTTGACCATGCAATGGTTTCAATGGGGTGCAACCCGACTGACTTTAATTGTATAGAAAAAAGCACTAAACATTTTTCATTTTCAGATATCTGTATTCCACAGGACTCCCTTCAAGTCCTAGCCCTAAAAACGTTCAGACGGTTTCTTAAAGTTGCTTTATTGTTGGTGTTTGCCAAGTATCACTGCTACCATTCCTTATACTTAGGGTGAGGAATTTGAAGAAAGCCCTGAACCCAAATATTATCCATGATAAACTAGTTATGCTGTGGACATTAGTGATTAAAGAAAAAAAAAATGTCATGAAATGAAAAATCATGAAGCTTGTGGAGAGATGTGCTATTATTTTTTTCTGACCAATCGGATGAAGATTATTCACCTTTCAGGCGATATAAAACAAATATTTAGCCTACATGTTTTAAAAATGTATTTGTCTACTAGTATTATACTAGTAAAAATGAACTAGCAAATGCAAAAGGTAATTTAAGAAAGAAAAATCTTAAAGGGGAAGTTCACATGAAAAGGACAATAACCACTGTCTGGGACATTTCTTTTATGAGCATATGGGCTATAAGTATTCAGTTTAAAGCCTGGCATCCACAATCGTGATGTTCCTCCGTATTCTACGAACTCTCATAAAAAATTCTTTAACAGAGTTGATCACGTGTCAGTTTAAATTGTAAACATTTAGTTGATTATTGTTTAGCAAGTGTTTGGAACGGACCTCTTGAAGTACTGTACAGGTGGGAATTGTAAATAATTGTCAAATGAACAACTAGTGATTGGTTACACAGTGTCCTAACCAGGCGCACTGTGACACAAGATGAAAGATGTTTTTTCCGTGCTAATCTGAGTTTTTGTCCTAAACAACCATGGCAGCGCTAAGTGACGTGCGACAGGGGATTCTATTTTTAGAATGATTTCTATTCAAGAGCGTGCAAACCATGTGTCCAGTGTCACTGATAATCTCAGGTTCTGATTATTGCTTTGTGTATCATCTTTGACCGTTTCGAGACTTTGGGTTTTCTTCCATTCCACTGCTTCTCATGTTTTTAAAAACAAAAAGTACTGGCGCTTCGGCTCTTTGTATAAAACTATACAATACATGATACTGTTTTGTTCATCCTAATCCTTTTTTCTTTTTTGCTTTTGCGCAGTCACCCAGCCCTGTTATGGCCTCCTCACTTATTTTCCCCAAATAATTTGTTTACTTGAATTGTGGAATTTTGTCCTGCATTTTTGGACTTCCTTGAAAACAGGGGACTTCAATATAACTTCCTCTTCCCTTTTCTGTGGCATTTTTTTTTTCAAGGAGGAATTCCCCCTCCCCCCAAATCCTGAAAGGCCATCAGCAAATAAGATCCATTTCCTTACAAAAGCACCAAGTACGCACTTGACGGCTGTCGCCACCATAATCAAACCTTCTTTACATGTGATCAGTTCAGTTCAAGTTCTTTATTCAGTCATGATGTTATTACAGACACAATATTAATCACATCAACAACAAAATAATAACATTCAATGCTGAATAGGAGCATGAGGAAGACCTAGTCTTATAATTTCATGCCCCATTTTTCAATAATCTTAGCTGACACAAAACAGATGGCTCGCCGTTTTTTTATTTATTTATTTTTTAGGCTACA